GCGTTTCCAGAAGCACTTTCTATACCGAAGAGAAATAAGGCGGGCCCATACCCATTATAAATATTATTAAACTATATATAAAGCTGCTTAGCTAGTTGAAGCGCGTTCGCGTCTACGTTTTTGCACTCAAAGCCTCATCGTTGAACGAGGTAGCTCAGCAGGCTTCTCCTTCTGGCATCTTGGGGATGCGTGGAGCCTGTTGAGCTGCCTAGCTTAAGCATCAACCCAATTCGAGTTAATTTGAGCAAAGAACGCGCTTCAACCGGCTAAAGCAAAGCTTTAAAATTTAATTTCTGAGCCTGTTATACCCAAACCTATGATTTTCGTGCGTTGTGTAATGCGAAGGGGCAGCCTTCATCGGCACAAAAAGCGCGGCTTGTTTTTGTTCGTCCTCATCGGCACAAAAAGCTTTCGCTCCGGCACTCTTCTCGCCTCTATTTTGTGTGAAGGTCCTCGCTTTGCATGCAGAAAAGCGCAGTAGAAAGCCATGCTCTGAATTACAGGAACTATCTAAGACGGCAAAGCGCCGCCGCGCTTTTACTTTTTCGGTATGGGGATGGGTCTGCCTCTGCTTTTCGCTTCAAAACGAAGGAGCGTCTTCAGAAGATAGACCCGGAGCTATTGAAGTTGCTTGATGCGCCGGAGTGCTTCTTCATTTTCGACGAGGGCTGGAAGGCGCGTGCCGATGAGCATTGGACCAAGGCGGAGACCTGGGACGGCGCTGCCGTGTCAACGTCTGACGTTGACGAAACAGACGACAACGCGAAAGAGGCGCGCCGCCTCCGCATGTTTGGGCGCCTTGCGCGCGCTTTCCTCGGACTTCCTGTCTTTACGACAAAGGAGGGGCCAGCAGAGCCCTACCGCGCTTATAATTTATAGCTTGGACGGCCATTAGATTTTTAGATGGTGAATTTCAAACGATCTCAGGGATCTTCAGAATATGATGAGTGGCGCTGCGCGTATTTCTTCGGGGAAATAGCGAAACTCACTTGATGCAAAAGCCCAAGCGACGCAAACGCCAAAACTTCCCGGCACCGGCGAAAATTTTCAAGCAAAAAAAAACGCGCGGTGAGGCACCAAGGTGCGTCGCTGCATTGCCTGCGCGTTGCGCCTTGCCCGATGGGCTGCGCAGTAGCCTCGCGCGGCTCCTCTTGTTTTCTGGGTGCTTTGGATGGTTGGCCAGCCTCTGACTTCTCAATCTGTCCGGCGCCTTCTGCTTGCGATCGGTGAGTTTAGTGGTGAATTTAAAAACGGCAGGCCGGTGAATTTAGTAAATTGCGTCCGGTGAATTTAACTTCCCCCTACCTGTTTCTCGATTCTGGGTCGCCACAAAACTGGCGCCAGTTTTGCCATTTATTTCTAAACCCACCGCCACCGGACGCAATTTACTAAATTCACCGGCCTGCCGTTTCTAAATTCACCACTAAGCCCACCGATCGCAGCATACCATCCGCAAAGGGGGTGCTTTTAGGCCGCTTTTTGGCGCCAAAAAGCACGGCACTCCGCGTCGATGATTTTTAGCAAAAAAACCATCCTCGTCATACCATGAGGAATGGCGTTCGAGTAGACGCTTTTCCATATGGAAGCGCTGTTTTTTTGCGATTTTCGTTGCCCAAAGTTGGAACATGGAAGTGGAAGTGTTGAGAAGGAATGGAGAAAGTCAGGAAGCTTCCAAAAGGCGCACTTCGCGAAAAAAGACGCAGACAAAAGTGGTAGGTTGAACGATGTTGGGAGGGGGGTTGCCATCAATGTGGGGGAGCCTTGGCGACGAGCACAGTGCCGCCGTTGCCTCTATTTGTGCTAGCCCTAGCCTCGCGAGCCATAACCGCCCGAAAGACCAGCCCCGCGATTCTCCGCTCCCTCTAAAATCACTCGAAATCCACCGCCCCTATATCCAATGGGCGTCCAAGCTGTAGCGTATAACTGGAAAGAAAGACAATGACTGCCAACTGGATAACTCGCTGAAGCTAGTGCGTTGCGAATGAAAGCCGGGGCCCCAGTTCGCGGACACATGAAAACACGAAGCCACCAGTAGGCAGCTGGCCTATCGTCACCCAAGCAAAGCCAAAAGCCTTGCCCGAGAGTCGTGGCGGGCGCTTTGGATGATGAATCTCGGCGGGGCTTCTCAGAACGAAGAAAAGGCCCCTGGTGTTCTAGATTTTGGCTCTTTGGGGTCTGTTTCGATTGTGTGCCCCCATCTCTTTTCGCATATGTTGCGCGCCTGCCCCCCGTTTGCGCTTGCCGAACTGCGTCGCATGGATGGGCGTCACGGAAAACCCGGCCCAGCTTGGATTGGTCCACACTGCGCAAGCCAACCCGTCGCCCGCAGGGTTTTTTTCTAAGCTTCGCCCAGGCGACAAAGTGCCTGCGCGAGAAGAGCCGCCGCCGCTGGCCCGTTCTGGGCGGGCTGTGCCCGCACGGGAGCGGGGCGGATCAGATGCTAGGCCCCGGCGCCTTGGTGGCCCCCCGCGCCCGGTGCGGGCCGGCTTGTGCCCTCGCAGGTGCTGCTGCCGTGAGCATAAACACGGGCGACGCAGCTCGGCGCGCAGATGTACAACAGCAGCGGCGGCGACGGGGCTGCAGGAAAGGGCAGCTCGCCCCGTGTAAAAAGAGAAAAGGCGGAGGGCCCCTATTTCGTCTTTGCTGGCGCTGTGTCTCATTGTGGCGCGCCTGAGAGAGAGAATGCGCGCGCGCGATTTAGCGCACGGAGGCCTGGGTCTGGCGCACTTGAGAAAAAGCCCCGGGGTTGTGTTGCACGTGATAAACCCGCCACCAGCCCGCTGCGCAGGAGCTCGTATCTTTTTTTTTGTGGCGCCGCACTTGGCCTCTGCCTCCGCTTCGCCGCAACTAAGATCAGTGAAAAAAACGCGCGGCCGCCTGCTGGGTCCGCGGGAGAGGTAGGCGCCAGCGCGGATATAGGCCTTCGAAGGAGGCGACGACCGTAGCCCGCATCGTTGGAACGTCGCTCGCGCACGCTCTAAAGGACGCACGCACGGCGGGCGTGAATGTGGATAACAGTGATACATAGCACAACCTGCCACCGCAGGGGGCGTTGGCGGTTTCTGTTCACCTTGGCGCCGAACTGGTCGCGCCGGCCTTCGTCGGTGGCCGCTATGAAACAAACACGCCGGCCAGGCTGACGCCGAGCGACCTTGGGGGCGCTTTTTCGTGGCGGCCCTCCGCCGGCCCACGCCTTTCCGGCCTTGACAGAAAACAGACCGGACAGCCCCCGGGGGTCAGTGCGTCTCTCACGGGGTTAGAGAGCACGCTTGCGCTTGATGGGAAGCGCGCGCGCAATAACTAAAAGTAAGGGCGAGCGCGTGGCCCCTCGCCTTCTTCGTGTTATGTAGCCTGCCCGAGTATTAGTTTCTAGAACCGTCGAAGAGGAACAACACACCGGTCGATGTGTACACAAAAAAAGACAAAAAAAGCAAAAGGCGCGCTGTTTTGCAGAATATAAGGGGCCCAGAAAGTCGACAGATTTTGTCCAGTGCCCAAAAGCCGATGGACATCCAAAAAAAAGGAAAAGAAGCCCACTTTTTTGCAGAGGATAAGCGGCCCACAAAATCAACCGATTTTGTCCAGTGCGGAAAAGCCGACGGACATCCGAAAAGCGCTTTTTTTTTGAAAAATCTGCCGCCCGATCTGACATCGCCGGTAAAAGATGGATTTTAAATTTGTCACGCGCTCCATTTCATCGCGATTGAAGGAGCGATCGCGTGTAGATCCTGCGGAGGCGTGTCCACCCCACACGGCTTTCGACCTCTGTGAGGGTCGCAATTTGGCACCCTTGCCCCGATTGGAAAGGACCGACTGGGGTGGCCCAAAAGGGCTGCCAGAAATGACGAGAACTGTGTAAGTTTTTGAAGTTTGTGCATTTTCCCGGGCAGGCGGGCCCCCGTGCCTAACGCTATGCGCGACGAAGTGCCTCCCGCCAAAAAGCGCAGTCGTCTGCGCGCCCTTGCTTCCTGGTTAATAAAGGATGAAAGCGCGGCCTGAAGCGGGCTGCAGTGTTGGACCGCGGTCCAAAAGTGGCGCCCGCGAGGGCCGCGCATTCATCCTCTTCTAACCAGGAGGTCAAGGGATGCGCGGCAGCCTTCGCACTGACTGGGGCGGCTCGCACCCTTTTGGTTACCAGTATCGCCCTCCGGGCGCGAGCTTCATACTGCAGCGCGAATCGCGCTGCCGTCTCGCTTTGGCTCCGTCCGCGTGGCGGAGGGGATGGCGGACCCACTTGAACTGAATAAGCCGGATATGGGTTTTTTTCGCCAGTTCGCCTACCGTTACCACCTGAGAACCAAAGGGCGCGCAGGCACTCGCCCGTCCGAGGTGCCCCCCGATCGCAAGCGGGGCGCGAAGGCGTTGCCGTTGCCATGTGGAAGCTCTTCGGGGGACTGCAGCCAGTTGCAAGGCCGGCCATTTCTGGCTCGGTTTCTTTTGCCGCCGGAAAGTGGGCCCATTCAAATGCTTAAAGCTTTGGCCTCTATTTTAAAAAGCTGGCAGGCGCAGGCCTGCTCAAATTGGTCAGGGAAAAGGGTAGGCAGAGGACTTCTCCAGCACCGCCCGACCAGTTTCCAAAGAAAGAAGCCCGGAGCCTCGACTACTCCCGATGGCGTGGCGCGCCTTGCGGCGGAAATTTTGCCAACCGCCGGCTGCCCCGGCCGGTTGGAATTCTAGAAACAGTAAAAACGAATAGGCCCAAGGTTTTGCAAAAGGTAACGCGCTCGAGAAAAGCCTGGACTTCGCCCGCGGCCCGAGGGCCGACAATTTTCCGAAAAAGAAAAACAAAAAGCAGAAGCCGCGAAATATTTTGGAGAATGAACGTTGCCTAAAATAAAGGTCCGGACTTTATCCGCGGTCCGAACAAGGCTGACGAGGTTCCAAAGGGCATCGCTTTGGTGCAAACCCCGGCCCCCGCAACCTATGAATTGACAAAATAGGGCTGAGGACATATCCCGGAGGAGAAAGCGCTGGCACCTTTAGAAGTGGGCGCGGGGCCGCGCTCCTTGCCTCTTGCCAAAAAGCCAAGGGAGGCGCGGCCGCCTTCGCGCTGGCTGTCTGGGCTGGCTCGCGCGCTCTGGGTTACCCCGAAAGGGGCCTGCGTGCCTGAAGTGAGTGGAGTGACTGTGTCTTGTTGAGAGCTCGCCAGCCATTCGTGTTTGCGCCGTTCCGGTCGCAACGCTGCGGACTTTTGACATTGACCAAGAAGTTTTTTTCCGTATCGCCCTTATTTTTTCTTTTTCATCGAAAGACCGTAGCTAGCGCGTAAGAAGTATGTGTGTGTCCTTTTGCGATAGGGGGGCTGTTGTGCCCTGCGTTTTTACGGGTCGCGGGCCTTCGCCCACTGCAACATGACGAAAACTAATTTTGCGTCGATCCAGTAAAGGCGGTGACGGTAAGCGGCAAGCGCGTGCAGGGGGACAGCAAGAAGACGGCCTGTCGTGGTTCTGTTGCTCGTTTTCGTTGCGAATCCGCTGAGATGGCCAGCGGCGGCGCACGCAGTCCCAGTCGAGACGGCCAGGCCTGGCGTTGTTGCTTTCCGTGTTCGGCCTGGTGGTTTTGCCGTTGGATGTCTTGGATTCACTTCGCCAACCTTGTCGCCCTGGCATGTTGCCGAGAAGCAGAATCCGGCACGACGGCAGCCGTTGTTGCAGACGGTGCGGCGGAGCCGCGTCGCCAGGAAGGGCCCGCGAAGAAGTCTCAATCCTCTACCCCGGTTGCCCCCGGCGGACCTCTTCCTGCCTTTCCTGGGAGTCACAGCAACGGCGCTGCGTCTGTTGTTCAAGAACATGCCGGGTACGAATGGGCGCATGACGGGCACGAATTGGCTCAACTAGTAAAGAGCAAATCGGAAGAGTTTGGAATGGTAGATCTTTTTGAGCTTCCGGGCAAGCCGTCATTGCCCATACAATATCTGGGCGCTCTTGCGGTATTTAACCTGGGCTTTCTCGGTGGACAGAGTAACGACGGCATTGCCCGCGTGCTCTTCTTCAAATACCATCAGAAGCTGCAGCCGAGCCAGAGCGCAAGCAGTCCGAGTGGAAGTGGATACGGTTATCGTCACAATGATAATAAAGCTGTTGACCGAGCAGACACCATCTGCAAGTTTTTTGTGAGCCTTCCTGACGAGCGCGAGTCTTCTGTCTTTACGAAGCAGACAGTACGGGTTGAGCGGGAGTATGAGATGGCGCGCACTGGTGGCATTCGCGGTGGAGACGGGAACGAAGCCGGGGGCTTGGCGTTTGGTTGTCGCTACTTCCCAAACGGTGGCGGCGTGAACGCGGGTAAGACCGCGGAGGGCTCGCGGCCTTCATCGCGCATCACCGCAGCCGGAGCTGGGACACCAGCAAGGCCTGCGCATGCAGATGCAGGTGAGCCCGAGCATTATTTGTTTGCGATCGAGCGCCTTATTTGCCGGGGTTTGAACAAGCTTGCTGCAGAGAAAAGAAGTCCGGTGCCAAAACCGACGAAGGAGGGCGAACTTTATGCAACGTGCTCCGCTAAGATGGACGGCGACGCGATGACAGAGGCGGGGTTGCTCGCAGTGGGCCCTCAAGACTCACACCTGGCGAAGCTTTGCACAAACCTGGCAACCACCTCTCCCCCGGCGGCTGCCGGCACGCCACCTGCTCCGGCTTCTTCTACTAAATCTGTAAGCAGTTCCGAAGTCGCTGGGCCCGACGCGACCGGGCTGGTCAACGAGATTTTACGTAAGCTGTTGGGCGACACAAAAGGAAGCGCAGAGGAGCTGCCACGGGAAGGCGGCTCGGGTGGAAGTTTGGTGGCAACCGCCGCGGGCGAGGGCGCGCTCAGGAAGCCAGCGCAACCGCCTGCCCCACTCGACGGCGACGGCCTCGAGATTTCTCATGACCAGGCTAGCGACTGGCGAAGAGCAACAGCGGCGTGCCAGATACTTCTGGATGATTTTCAACGAAAGTGGCCATTGGCAAAGTCGTTCGCCCGGGAGATGGTTGAACAGGGCGCAAAAGAAGTTGCGCTGCTTCACAGCATCGGGATCGAGCACGGGGACGTGAAGCTGGAGAACATGCTGGTCGCGAGAGAGGCCGCGGTTGCTCACATTGACACTACCAGCGCAAAGACAGACGCCGGCGGTGGGGTACAACCAGAGTACAGGATCAAGCTTGGGGACTTGGACGGCGCTTGCCGCACGCAGAGGGAGGGCGAGGTCCGTTCCGGCGAGGAAGGGCCGGCGGCTGGCGCCTCGATGCTAACTACAAGCGACCCCCTTTTTGAGGGCGAGGGCGCAAGCGTCCCGGTGTGCCGGTCTGGCACTACCTGGACCTCATGGACGCCCCGATATGCGTCACCGGACCACTTCTTATTCACCAGCGAGGGCCCAGCCCCAGGCCGCAACGCGCTGCGCGGGGATCTGCACTCTTTGGGCCTGGCGCTTGTCAAGCTCACCCAGGTATTGTGTTTGACCGGGAAAAGCATCTCCGAGGCACTTCATGAGGCCGGGCCGAATGATTTTTTTCGAAGGAATATGAAAGAAACGGCGCGGAAGGAAAAGTTCGATATGGGTATTGCGGTGTTCCTCTCGGTGCACCTTCCAAACTTCGAGCGGCCACCGGGCACTTCGTCTTCGCTATTGGTCCAGGCTTTTGAACAAAGGAAGAACGCCAGCGCGTTGCGGGCCAAGGCAACTTCACCATCACCGGACGCCGAGACGCTCGCCCAGGGGGATGAAACCTCGGCAGCGTGGCTAGCAGACAGAATCAACTGCGAGAGTGGTGGTGAAAATCTATTCGAGACGACACACGCGCGAAAAATTGCAAAAATGCTACTGGGAATCCCCCTCGACCAACCCGAAACCAGTAAAGGTAGATCTTCTACTAGCAGTAACGCCTATCAAGCGTACCCATGGACAGAGTTAGTGTCGATGACAAGTCCAGCTGCGCCTACGGCGGCGAAAGAAGCTGTAAGACGCCAAGTGCGTGTATGAGAACGACAAAGAAAGTCCCAATTTGCACTGCACCAAGACGCATGTAAGCTACGAGCACGGACAACCCAAGAGTTACACTTGCATTGTATACTAGCGGCTGCGGCCAGGCCATTGTTTATTAATATTAACTTGCGCGGCAAATGTGAAAGTGTTCCGTTGTGGAATCGTGTACGGGTATCAGGACCAAGATCATGATTTGATCAAGATCTTCTGGAACTTCAAGGCTTTATCCGTAGTTTTCATTTTCGCTGTCTTGCATTGGCATTGCTCCGCTTAGGCACCACTTACGTATTACTTGAGAAAGCAATCCCTCTCAGTTAGACGACAAAACACAAGCACTGCGCCCGTTTTCTTTCGATTCCAAATTTTTTCGTGCCAGTTTTTGTCTTCATTTCACAAGAACAATAAGGCTCCCCGGTCGTTCGCCGTCTCCGCACCGTTCAGGTTCTTCTCCTCGTTGCAGCAGTGGAGGAGGTGGTGGAGGCGAGCGTCCCTTCTGCTGATCGATGTACCTATGAAAAGAAACGAATTACGCTCCTTCGAAGAAGATGCAGCTGAAAAGTTTTGCACTTCTGACCGCGGCCTACCTGGTGCCGACCTGCGTTCTGTATCACACGTGCTCCTACCGCCGGGAGGAAGTGCAACTGCTGCGGGACGAGAAGCAAAACCCAAGGTTCCTGTTGTACCGAGTAATATCGTCCTCGGACGGCAAAAACAGTTTGTCTTTGTCACCAGCAGCTGCGCGTTCCGCCGCCACTAGGAAAAAAAGGAGACGCAAGGAGGATGTCAGCAAGGGCGTGCGAGTCCCTCAGGAGGAAGCGGCGGTCGCAAAAGGAGGCGACGCACCAGGCAGGACAACAACTGACGGCGAGGCAGTTTCGCATAGCCATAAACACGCAGTCGTCGAGCAAAAATCAGAACAACTAGACACGGAGTCAGCCCGCCGGCTTCTTCTCAAAGAAGCCGCCCGGGAGTTTTCTCAGCTGCGCGAAGTGTGGAGACCATTGGGCGAGGTACGAGAGTGCACAATCTGCCCTCGTTTGTACCCCTCAAATTAGAGGAGCATATCTACTAGCAAAACGAAGAAACAACTTGCAGAATGGAGCACTTGCAGGACAAATCCACGGTCGGACGACTTCAATGTGGTTTCCTTGGACATGATCCAGAACTTGTCATGCAAATACCGCCCAAGTGCCCAGACAGCATTTGGCGTTTTGCATGACAAAAACAGGGGAAGGAGCTTGTGTACTTCCATACGAAAGCCGCGAAGTGCCGAAAGCAGAGCTGGCAAAGACGGGGAGGCTATTATAAGTAAAAATGTCCCCGCCCCAGAGCTGTCTTCAGGCGGGTTTGCAATTAGTACAGGAACAGTTGTAATGCGCATTCCCATGAGCATGATCGTGATGAGAAGCAAAAGCATAAGCATTTTCAGTTGTGTTTTGGAAAAGTTTGTAATTCTGTAAAAAGGATGAAGAGCCATTTTTGTGATCCGGCTGTGCTTGCTAAGCTGCACTGGAATCTCGAGAGAGGAACTTGTAATACGTAAACTCCCACCAAAACTTCTGCATTTTTTGTGTCGCAAAGTTACCAAGAAAACTTTACTCTGCGCCGGGGATGGTTTTTCCCCAGGATAAGAGCTGGAACTTCTGCCCACCACGTCGCCCGCCCGGCTCGGGGCGATCCGTCAGCAAGCCGAACAAGAAGACACGGTGCACTCCACCGCCTTATGGTGTTCTCAAACGTTACACTCTCACGTGTTACATGGATTTGTTACGCAAATATACCATCAAGATCCACCCGATCAAGCTGCTTCGCATGACAAATTTGCGAAGGGCTAAACAGCCCCTAAATCTGTGTGGAATTTGTAATGCTAGATGCGCAACCTCCTCCCTTTAGCTTTTGCTTTTTGCGCATTACAAATTCGTGTAACAGTAGTTGAGAATGTAACAGTTGAGAATCCCATACGCCTACCTGGCGAAGTTTTCCAAGCGAGGACAGGCCTATCGCCGGCTCCTATACCACGAGGTAGTGGTCAAGCTGACCAAGCACCAGAGCACCGAGTTATGGGAGTCTCAAATCGGTTACCTTCTCAACTGTTACATGAATTTGTCATGCAAAATTGGCACCGACATCTAGTACATGATCAAGCTGCTTCGCATGACAAGTTCTCGATGCCGCGCTAGATAGAATTGCATTAATCTGCTCCAAACCTGTAATGCAAAAGGCGCAACCTTCCCCCTTTCACTTATGCCATTCTTGCATTACAAATCCACCATGTAACAGCTGAGAATGTAACACGACTTGAGAACTCGTCCATACGAGTATTCCTTAAATTGGAATCGCGTCTTCACGGCAGAAGACACCAAGCCAGAAAGCGGTTCACTGGACCAGCGCGACAGAGATGCGGCACTTATCCAGTGCAAAAAAATCGTACTCGTATAGCGATCATGCATTACTTTAGGTAAATCAGCATTACAGATTGTATTCGTCATGCTGAAGAAATTTGTATATGCATTTGTACGAGGAGTGCGAGTGCGACACTTTTGCACTGGATAGCACTCCTGAGCCAGCAAATCTCGTCGTCCACTTCGAATATGCCCTGAAAATTAACCATCCCCATCCAATTTGTCATGCAAAGCACGCATAAAGTCCTTTGTTTGTCATGCAAAAAATCGATGGGGATGGGTATTAATTTTCACGGAATATCGAACGCAGAAAGCGAAGAGCCTCCTCCTGCCCCCGCTTCCGCGGGCTCTATAAGTATATCCAAGAAAAAAACTGTGTTAGTGTGACTTTCTTGGAAGAATAGCATCACAAATTTGCTCTGCACGACAGAGAGAGCCTGTCATGCGCGCCTAGTACGTGAAAACACGTACGAAAAGAGCTTCTGATGCATGTCCAGCATGACAAGTGTAACTGTTTTGCACTTTCTGCATCACAGACTTACACTTACACAGTTTTTTTTTTGCATAAAGTAGGACGCCAGTGGAGTACTTTGTTCAGAGCAACGTCTTTGCGGTTGCGGATGAAAGCGTGCGGTATATCGCGAGGAGAAATCCCCCCTCTCCATATTGACAAGGTACGTTTTCGAAAATTTGCGTTGCTGATTTGTGACCGCAAATCGTCTCTGTGTTGCATGAAGGCAATTCCACAGACAGCCGCCGCATTCTACAGGCGGTTTGTCATGCTGTGGCTCCTACAGCGTAGAGGTCTGCCAAGCTAAGCGCATAGGCAAAAGTAAACCTGTCAGCTGAGGCTTGCTATGGGCCTGCAGTCCTCGCAAGCAAGACAACTTTGATTCGTGCACACAAATCCAGCATCAGAAACTTCGTTTTGATACGGGGAGGGGGGGCTTTTCATTCTGATACAGTACATGTACGCGAACATGGCGATGGACCTGCAGAAGCGGTGGTATGCACTGCAAAAGTATCGCACTCGTACTAATTGCAGTTATGCATATACAAATTTCTTTTTCAAGCCAAATGAGCATGACAAATTCCATTTGTCATGCTGAGCTAATTTGTATTGCAATACTACGACTAGGACTACGATACTTTTGCAGTGCATAGGCGGAAGGCAAAGGTGAAAGTGAGCAACCTGGACACGGCCCGGATGACGCTCTGTCCCTACTTGAAACTGTATCCTGTGCAAAAGTACCGCAAGTCGTCTTGCAGTCATGCATTACAAGTCTTTTTCTTAAGCTAAATCCGCATTACAAATTTTCTTTCTCATGCTGAGGCAATTTGTCATGCATTTACACGCGTGCGATACTTCTTTTGCAATTCATAAACTGGCTGCGGCATTGAGAAGTAGCGGAGGACGTAGTGGATCTGCAGGAGCATCACCGCCTTCACCCGCCGCCCCATCAGCAACGGCTCTTTCCTCCTCGGAGGACATAAAGCCTCTTCCTCCTGCTGCTGTCGTGAGTGACTTTGAGGCCGAACGGGAAGAGATCGAGAGGCTGGCGCGAATCGTTTTGCAGGACGGGAAATCGCAAGGAGACGAGGCTTATGCGTCGCAAATATGTCTGGGTCTGGAAACATGTAAACTTCTGATGCGCATTTGAGAGCAGAAAAAAATCTGTCATGCATGGACCGCAAAAGTTGCTCATTTCTTGTCACCCAAAGAGGGAACTTGTCATGCGGATTACTTGGGCCTCGCCTAACCTGCTCAAAACCTGTGTTGCTAGGACTTGCATGCTAGACCTTCCGTGTCATGCACAAACAGCATCGCACTCATTCAGACCCAGACATATTTGCATTTGATAAGGCTTCTAATATCAAGAGGACTTCATCTTCTGGAGGCTCCACGAACATCAAAATGCACGCCGCCTCTGCTCCACCCCCCTCGGTATCATCTGCAAAAGCATCGCGCCGCTCATAGAAGTACTTGACTGCATGACAGAGCTGACTTCTTAGTAAATTTGGCACGACAAGTTCCACTTGTCGTGGTGCTGAGATGAAAATTTGTATTGCAATAATTTCTTCCGCTTCTATTTCTATACCGCGATCATGCTTTTGCAAGGCATAGTCGGTCTCGGTGAACAGGGCCAAATCTGCGGGCTGCCTCTGGGTCACGGTTTGTGGTCACTTTCGCTCCTTCCTGTTTAACGCGTGGAACCTGAAGTCTTTTTTCGAGCTAGCGAACACCAACATGCACTGCGTGTATTTCTCCGTCGTCGTGCGGTCCGACGCGGAAGCGCCCGGCAAGGTGTGGTGGGGCAATCGGGGCGCGGAAAAAATGAATCAACTGTTTGACGTGACCGTGTGGCTCCAGAGGATCCAGAACGCCGTATTATGGATTGCAAATATGTCTGGGTCTGAAAGGTTGGAACTTGTAATGCTGTCTCTAGATTCCAAAAAAATCTGTATTACATGAGCAGCAAGAGGAGTCAGCTCTTGGCACGCAGAGAGGGCATTTCTCATGCATAATTAGCATCAAGAAGCTCTCAAAAAATCTGTGATGCTAGCACCAGCATCACAGACCTCACGGGTCATGCAAAATGTGCATAACAAGACCCAGCTCTTCCACACCCAGACATTTTTGCAGTTGATACGTATTTTCCAACACCAATTTCTTCTACGTTGTCGTCGACCTCGAGAATCTATCCTGTGCAAAAGTATCGTACTCGTACGAATTGCAATTAAGCATGACAAGTCTTGTCCTGAAGGTAAAACAGCATGACAAATTCCATTTGTCGAGCTGAGGTAATTTGTAATGCAATTACTACTAGTACAATGCTTTTGCAATTCATAGAATCCGACCGTCCGGTCCCAAGACGGCGAACACGTTAGCTACCTGGTGGCCAAGCGACTGCGAAAATTCCACGACACGTTTGCCCACGTCCTCGCGAAGATGACAGTGACAGGAGGAACCGGAACGCCTCGTGCTGGTAGAAGTGCCGAAGACAGCACCAAGACGCGTCAAAATCAAAATGAAGTGGATCCTGCTCATCATGATGATCTTCAAGAAGACCGCTCGTTTCCCGACCTGTACCAGCAAACGCACCTGATCACGAACGGCAAGAAGTCTTTCTACATTCTCGGAGAGAATGCGGATAGCCGACAGGAAAAATTACGGTTGAAAGTTTTCGACACTGTGAAGCAAGAGTACGAAAGTTTCGTGAAACTCCAGAAGGGCGCCGACAACTACAACCACTACCTCCGTACCGGAGATGAAAATAGCCGGGTACTGCACCGACGAAACGCGGACGGGAGCAGAACGGTTCGGAAGGATAGAAGCGTCGGTGGTGCTGGAGCGGGACAAAGTCAAAGTAGTAGTGGTGGAGACCACTATGACGGCACAGTGGAAGATCTTGCTGGTGATCCGCTGCTGTTCCCAACGGACACACCGTTCGAGCACTCGCTGTATGCAATGCAAAAGCATCGTACTAGTATGAATTGCATATACAAAATAGCCCAGCATTACAAATTCAATTTGTAATGCTCATTTACCTTGGAAAAAAGATTTGTAATGCATAAATGCAATTTTTTACTACGAGTGCGATACTTTTGCACAGGATACGCTGGAACGATGGCTCCCCGGTCCGTTCCCGCCCGACTGGCCGGTCTCGGCGAGCAGAACCTTCGGCGACTCCTCAGTGGAGCACGTCTTCTTGCTATCGCAAGAAAAAAGTGTTACAGTTACACACTTGTTGGAGTTTCTGCAGCACAAAGTTGCTCGACATGGCCAAGAAAACCTGTGATGCAGCCCACCAGACTATGTATAAGGCAAAACACGAATGAAATGAGGTTAGCAAGCATTTCCTGCATGACAGAGGTTGTCTGTCTTGCTTGTCTCCCATCAGAATGTGTAACTGTAACACTTTTTTCTCACGATACTTGCGCACGCGCCCCGATCTGGTCTACGACTTATGGCGTTCTCAACTGTTACATTCTCCACTGTTACATGTTGAATTCGTGATGCAAGAATGGGAAGAGTGAAAGGGGGAAGGTTGCACCTGTAGCATTACAAATTCCACCGCGCAGTTATTTTAGGCGCGGCTGATACCATTCGCAAACTTGTCATGCGGAGCAGCTTGATCGTGAGGATGATGGTGGCGCTTTTGCATGACAAATTCATGTAAATACGGTTGAGAGTGTAACGATTGAGAACCCCATACGACTCACAAATTGATTGGGGGCAGGTCTTCCTGGCGGCCCAGGTCACACGGCGCAAATGGTTCCTGCAGCGAGCCCAGCAACTGGAACAACTGCAGGACGAAGCAGAGGAGCGACACGCAGTTGCGGAGAGCAGCGGAAGTGGCACAGCTGCAAGTAGCACAGGTGCAACTTCGTCCCTCACCGCAGAAGCAGCTGCCGGCTTAAAGGCGGACTTAGAGTCCCCGCGGGCACTGCAAACCGGTCTGCGCGCTTTGCTGCGGAAGAGGCTGCAAAGCTTCCACCCAAATGTCCTCCTGGGCTGGGTGGCGCTGCATCAGGAGGCCGCGCTCACCATGAACGACCCCAATGAAATATTCTACTTCGGTACCGAGGCCCTGATGGACATCGCAAACAGCATCTGCCTCGACCACGGTGCATTCAACGGGCGGTGGCCTTTGGTCATAGTGCCGAACACGCTTCTCGGGATCATCCCTGGTCGCAAAATGTCCCTCGTCGCGCCGGGAGACGAAACTGCAACGGGCAGTATGTTGAGCAAGCACAAGCAGGGGAGCACAAGCACTTTCATCGCCGCTCCTACTTTATCTTCTTTGTCCAAAAAGACCGAAATAAGAACCTCTTCCGCGGTCGGGGGCACGACGTCGAGTGCGTCTGCGAATGGTGCGAAAATTCTGTCCGCGACAGAGCGAGAAGAAGCAGAGTTTTTTCAACGCCACAAGATCGAAGCGGACGAAAATATGCCCAAGATGGGGCTCGAGCTCATTGGCCTGTGGAATGCCGCCAAGGGGGCCATGGAAACGAAAATGCAGTCCGCGGAGGTATCAACTGCAAACACGTCTGGGTCTGGAAAGGTTGAACCTGTATTGCGTGTTTCGCATATCTATGGAAATCTGTATTGCATAAGCAGCAAAAAATGATAAAGCAACACACTTGCGGCATGCAAAAGCACAATTTGTAATGCGTTCTGTGCATGAGAAAGCGTTTGAAAAAAAAATTGTAATGCTGCACTGCACTTAAAGGCACAGCCAATCATGACCACTCAGCATTTCAAGTTTCAGACCCAGACTGACATACTTGCACTTGATAGGAGGATGACTTTTACCAGAGTGACCTAGTCGCGAAGCTGTTGGAGTATGCTGTTCCATATCGTGTGCAAAAGTATCGTACTCGTATTGCAATCATGCATTACAAATCATCTTGCCAAGGCAAATCAGCATTACAAATGTTATTTCTCATGCTCAGGAAATTTGTAAATGCATTTATACGAGTGCGATACTTTTGCAATGCATACTCCAGCTACTTCTTCGGACGGAACGAGGAAAGTGTCGGCATTGCAGAAACTCTTACAGGAGGAAAAACGACAGGCACGGTCACAGAACCAAGCAACTAGTCCAGTACGCATTGCAAAAGTAGTTAGTAGTACCGGTGGAATTGTGTTCATGATTAGATAGGAGTTGTAGCTGCACTAGGATCGAAGCGAAGCTGGCATAAATACAATTCTTGGCAAGGAAAAAATGTGAATTTGCAATGCTGAGTGAAAAAGGCAAAGTATGAAGCCAGATCTTCCTCTGTATCTGAAATTTAAATGTGACCACACCTCAAGAACAATTCCACTTCAAACGCGATTCACTTTTGCACAGCATAACCATCAAACGTCGTGCACAGCGATGTAATGAAATCGGGTCAGCTGCTCCTCACCGCGGTGCGGCGGTTTTTTCAGAAATTTTTCGCTATCTATTGTGAGGCAAAATCCCCAATCCCCATATCGAACAGGCGTGCTTTTCAAAATTTGTGATGCTGATTTGTGGCCACAGGCACAGCTCAAGTCTGTCTTGCAAGAGAACAAAGCCAGGGCTTCCGCTGCATTTCGCAGGCGATTTGTAGTAAGGCTGCTATGCTACTAGGGCAGACGTCTGCCGTGCTAATTACCTACCCCAAGCCACCCCGACCCCTTTCCGGGCTTTGTATCTGTCTGCAGTCCTCCACCGCAAGACAAATCCGATCTGTGTACGCAAATCCTGCGTCACAGATTTCCATTTCGATATGGAGAGGGGCGATTTTTCCATTTAATACTATCGGCGCCGTCTACATGCTGCCCGGAACGCAGAGTGGGGTTCAAAACCGGGTGAGGCTATCCTGCGCGCGTTTGCTAAACGGCAACCACCAGTGCGCCGTTGGTTGCATGATCCCCGGCCAGGCGCAGGCGTCGGGCGCCAGCAACCTGAGTCACAACTTCGGGCTCTTCTACGACCTCATACAGACGACACAGCCGTCGTCTGGCTCCCGGGATCAACATCATGAGGAAGCGCATTACAATATCCTGAGTAAAAACGTACCCACAGCAGAGTCAAGATGGAAAATCTGCTAGACAAATCGGCCAACTTTGCTTGTTTCGCATGACAAATTTGGACGCGTAGTGTAGTGCTGTTTGAGCTAGTTAAGCAGCATTACAGATCTAGTCTCTCATGCTGATTGGAGCATGACAAATTTCAAAACACCCTTAGAAAATGCTTCTCATGGGGCTCCGCATGACAAACATTTTAAGCATGCAGATTTGCATGACAACTATGGTGTGGGTACGTTTTTACTCAGGATATACAAATACAAATTCGAGTTTCCGCTAGTTGACGTCACGATAGGGTCGACCATGTGGACGCGGCAGAAGGTATGACAGTGCACAACTCCCCCTCCCCCTCATTTGTATTGCATCCACAGCAACACAAGCATCAGCAAGCATGCCGGTTCTGCATGACAGATTTGTATTGGAGTATAGTGCTATTTGGGCTACCAGAACTTGTCATGCAAACAGTGCCAGGAGGCAATGGCTGAATTAGGTATTTTGCGTGACAAAGAGGGGGAGGGGGAGTTGTGCACTGTCATAGAAGGAGCCCATGGGCAACCCCGCGAACGGCAATGTGTTTCAGCTGGTGGGGTGAAGTTGCAGTTGCTCAGACGTGGTATTCGGAGCACTACTTCGGAATAATATGCAGGTTCTTCCGGGTAGTACATCCATGTGGTCGTCGTCGATTTCGTGCTGCGGAAATAAGTTCTTCGTCGATATGGACCACCAACATTTCCGTCGTTTATGTAAGTAGCAAGCTCTAGTAGATCTACGTTCTTCTTTTTCATCTTCTCTCCTTTGCGGACGCCAGCGCGGACGTGGAAGTTGTGGTATGCAAAATGCGCAACCGCATCCAGCTAACTCGTACGCAACTGTACTGCAATTATACTGAAGTGGTTGTAGTTCATGTGCTTATGCATACGCATCGTTCTTCAATTTGAATCATGTTCTGCACACGGCGCACAACGTTTCCTGCATCCTGACTACATGATACGTCTATCTTCAAAACGAACGTGACAGCACTAAAGCGGCTGCGTGATATGAGGATAAAAAATAATGCCTGCTAGCTAATATGACGCTGGCTCTTGCGGTTCGAACCAGATGCGGACTGGTTGCTCAATTGCAATGTGTTTTCTTCATCTGTCTGTAATTAATACTACAAGAAAGGCTCGAGCTCGACACACGCGCGGAGCCGGAGTTGCTTTGCATAAAGACAAGAAAAGCATCGCAGCTCTCCTTGTTGATCACAATTGCAACTTTTTCCGGTCCACCTCCAAGCGACTTTTTTATTTTTTTCTTGCTTTCGAAGACGCAATGGATCACGATCACCAGGACAGCCTCGTCCTTGCAGCTGGATCTGCTCCTGCTTAGCAAACTTGATTAGCTTGCAGAATTATCGCAACCGTCATATTTATAAAGACGAAAAAACCTAGCGCTACTTCATCCTTCGTTTGCCATCTACTTTTTTGTTGGATATTTCCAGGGCGATGGCGCCACAAAAATTTTCATAAAGCACCAAGGCTAGAGCCGGCGACAAGAAGAGGCAGATAGTACTTTCTTCACCTTGCGCAACTTCACCTCATGGAGGCGGGGAGCGGCAGTCCCGGCCAAGGCCTAATATGGGCCCCTCTGGACCAGAACGGCAAACATTTCATGCTCGAGGTTGTCACTTTCGTGCGCTTCGAGCTCGTTCCCTTCGTCTGCAGCGCGATCGTCGTGCTGATTTCAATTCTAGCACTCTGCTGCACAACAACCGATGGTGGAGGAGATGGTACGACTAGAGGTTGCTCGTTTTTCATCTTTTCCTTGTGCAGGAGAAGCGCAAGAAGCGCAGCACCGGTTCGCGGGGGCGAAAGCCCGCAGAAAAATACCTCGGCAACATCGTCCTCCTGCAGCGACTTTTTTCTAGCGACGATTTTCTCTTTCAAATCTTCGAGAGTCTACGAAGAGGTACCTGACGCAGTGGCGCTCGTCGGAAAGCCTGCGGGTGATGTTGATCATGCTGCACATCATCAAGAGCCGCAGGCAAGCGGAGCACGACTTGTAGACCACAGCAAGAACCGGCGGAACCGTGAGGACATCGAACTGACACATCAGAGCGAAATAGCGAAGGAACAGGACGACGACGACGACGTCGATAGTGGCGGGCGGAGTCGAAGCGGGGACGTCGAGGCAGATGAAGTAGCACGACTGCAGCGAGAGCGACCCCAGCAGCACAACTACTACTGCACGCAAACTACTTCTATCAAGCGACGAAAGCTTCTCAAAGTGACGCTTACCCTGTCCGTACTCGCATTTGCCTGCTACGTCGTCTTCTCTTCCACCGAGCTCATGTTCCTCCTATGCATGGCAAATTATATGTCTGGGTCTGGAAGAGGACAAGTTTGTCATGCACATTTTCCCTGAGTCGTGATGTCTGTGATGTATGCCTTAGCATCTTCACATATTTTTTGAGTGCTTGTCGATGCGCATCCCGCATGACAAGTGTTCTCTGCGCGTAGCCAATACAATATATTGACTCCCCTTGCTGCCCATGCAATACAGGTTTTTCTAGCATCCCAATGCAGCATCACAAGTTCTTGCACTCTTCCAGACATCCAGGGATTTTTGCAGATGATACCTCCCGCGGGTGTACAAGGTTCGCTTCGGGGACGCGGAAACTTTTCCCACCGTGCCGGAGCGCTGGCGGGAGTGTACGGCTATCAAATGTAAAAATGTCTGGGTCTGGAAGATTGCAACTTGTGACGCTGTCTCTGCATTCTAAAAAAATCTGTATTGCATGATAGATCAGCTAGCAAGAGGGGTCCAGCTCCAGTTTGTGCTACACGGAAAGGGCATTTCTCATGCGGGATAGCATCAGAAAGCCCACTAAAAATCTGTGATGCCAGGTTATGCATTACAGGCGTCATGGGTCATGTAAAATCTGCATGACAAGTCTGGCATTCTTCCAGACCCAGACACTTTTGCATTTGATAACGGCAGTGGAAGAGCAAGAACGCACCAGCAGGAGCACAGGAGGAATTTTGGATAGTGGAAGCAGGCGACACAGTCCCAGCAGCACAAAGAAATGGCGGTGGGATCCCGAGACCGTCGTGGGCCCGCTCGGGAAGCTTATGGATAGTAAAAATGTCTGGGTCTCCTGGAAGATTAGCACTTGTAATGCCAGCTTCCCATGCCTAGAGCTAGAAAATCTGTATTGCATAATCAACAAAAGTCGCAGCCGCTTTTGTCATGCAAAAACGCAGTTTCTCATGCGGATTGCCCATGGGAAAGCGATTTGGGAAGGTGTCATGCCGGACTGCATTCGGAAGTGTTTTCATCATGCACATTTTAGCATCACAAGTTTCCAGACCCAGACATTTTTGCATTTGATAAAGTTGAAGAAGCCACCATTGTGGATCTTCGTAAACGACAGCAACTACGGCATCGGAAAGAAGATATGCAAGCAAACGGCGCCCGGTGTGAACCTGATAGTCAAGAAGTGTCTCGAAAGCTTCGAGCGGCACCTCCGGCCGCATTTCGAATTTGTGTACCTGAACGAGAAAAACATCACCAAGTTTCTCGATTTCGGAGACGGCCCGGGACTGCTGCCCCGGTGGCACGAGAGCCTCCCCGAGGGAGCGCAATACGCGGACTTTGCCTCGCTCTCGTTGCAGTACCGGTACGGGGGTGCCTACGTGGACTGGGACGTGCTGCTACTGAACAATATCAACCCGTATTGGGATCTGTTAGAGCACTTCGAAACAGTGTTGATCGGCCCCACCAGCGTGCGTGGGTACGGCACAGCCTACGACGAGCACGGGCTGATCCTTTCCCTATTGTGAGGAAAAATCCCCCCTCCCCACGTTACCAAAGCGGGACACTTTTGAAAATTTGTAATGCTGATTCGTGACCGCAATCGTCTCTGTATTGCAAGAAGGCAAATCAACAAACCCTGCCGCGTTCTCCCAGCAATTTGCAGTGCTGTATGGCCTACAGAGGACGCGCCTGCCTCGCTAGGTGCCTACACCGAAACGCCCTTACTCAGGTTCTGTATCTACCTGCAGTCCTCCATTGCATGACAAAGCAGATCTGTGTACACAAATTCCGCATCACAGATTTCCATTTCGATGTGGGGAGGGGGGATTTTTCCTTTTGATATTCCCGCCCCCGGAGTCTGTGGGCGGAGTCCAGCTTGCGGCTGATATCAACTGGAAAAGTGTCTGGGTCTGGAAACTTGTAATGCTTGGCTGGGAATAGTGAATGCTGATGCTCTGTAATGCACAACCTTGCATGAGAAAGGTCTGCGCCGCTTAGTGTTGCGCTTCACGCATGACGAACTGCGTTTTTGCATGACAGGCAAGAGGCCCTTTTCCTGCTCATGCATCACAGATTTGAGAGTCATGCCAGAGAAGCATGACAAACGTGCACTCTTCCAGACCCTGACCCAGACTACATTTTTGCAATGCATAGCTGATGCTCCAATCCTACGCGGACTATGTGAAGATATCAAATGTAAAAATGTCTGGGTCTGGAAACTTGTACTGCTAAAAGTGAATGATAGACGCACTGCAATACGCAGCTATGCATGACAAATTTTTTGGCTGCTATGTCTTACGTATTCCGCATGGCAGACTGCGTTTTTGCATGACAGGCAAGAGAACCTTTTCGTGCCTATGCAACACAGATTCTCGAGTCATGCCAGACAAGCATGGCAAACTTGCATTCTTCCAGACCCAGACACTTTTACAATCCATAGAAGAGCCACCCCGACAATCTGCGCAGGTTCTCGAGGCAGGAAGTCATGGACAGCTTGGCAACGCCAACGTCGAGGGGAGCATCGGTGGCAGCTTCGTCCTCATCTGCGACGAGTGCTAGTAGTAAGATCCCTAGCGGTAGTACTAGTACGATGGAGAAAAAACACGATGCTGATGATCCCACCAAGGTTTTGAAGCAACTCGGGCAACATTTCACGCTGTCCAAATACTGGGAAGTCACGCACAACGGTGTTGTTGCCAGACAAAACCACTGCAGCTTCGTCCGACTGTTATCGCAAGAAAAAAGTGTTACAGTTACACATTGTGTTGCAGAACACGCATGAGAGGCAACCTCTGTCATGCACGAAATGCTTTCAAACCTTATTTCACACGTGTTTTCCCGTAGGATTTCTGCAATGCAAGTTTTCTCTCTCATGCAGAGAAATTTGTGTTGCTGGATTGACAACAAATGTGTAACTGTAACACTTTTTTCGTGGGATAACTGTACATGGGAAGTCAGTACACACCGGGAGGTTTCGCGAAGAACCTGTGCGTACCCACTGCAAAAATGTCTGGGTCTGTAAGAATGCCAGACTTGTCAACATGCAGGTTTTCCATGACCCATGAGGTCTGGTATGTAGGACAGAGCATGGCAGATTCTGTGAAATGAGTTCTACCATGCCTATCCTGCATGAAGAGAAGCTGCCTCTTGGTTAGGTCAAAAGTGGGCAGCTTTCGGCATCATGCGTCGCAGATTTTTACAGATTCAGATTTAGCATGACAACTTGCTTTGTTCCAGACCCAGACACTTTTGCATTTGATAGTGCGAAATCGACGTCGCGACCGACTTCGACCTGGTTCGCCGAATCTATGCTAGCGCGATGCTGAATGACCTGCGACTAGTGCATTTGTCGTATGCGAAGTTTTATCAACTGCAAACATGTCTGGGTCTGGAAACTTGTCAACATGCAAGTCTGTCAGTAATGAGTGCACTTTAATAGTTGGCCAATCATGACAAGTTTTTGAGCTCCTGCCTGTTGCGTACTTGTTACGCTTACGCATGGGGGGATCCGCATTTTCGTGACAGACAAAAGTATCTCACTCTCCCCGTGCCTAAGCGTCAACACATAGTTAAGAGTCATGCCAGACACAGACTAGCAAGACAGATTTCGCACTCTTCCGGACCCAGACATATTTGCAACGCATAGCTTCGCGTTTTATGACGAGCCGAAACGGAACCGGTGCGCCATCCCCAGTCTGCAACAATGTCCACTGGTCGATATGTTGCGGGCGTTTTCCCGAAACGAAATTGTGGACGCAAAGAGGATCTTCGATACGATGTTGAGAAGCAGTAGTACAAAAAAGGAGCTTTCGTCTCCAGATACATCAACAACTGGCGCTGATGTCTCAAGGACCACTGGAGCTGCTATTTCAACATCTGCTGTTGCTGACGAAGTGGTCCAGATTGAGCTTGCGGGCGAAGTAGACGAGAAGCGGTGGCTCTTCGACGGCAAAGACAACGCCGGCGTCCGAACCTGGCTGGTGCAGTACAACGGGCAGGCACGACCTGGAAGTGCTGCTGTATCAGAAGGGACAGCAGCAACATCAAGCGGAAATATCAAGTTTTCCCGAGAGGCCAAGCACGCAACTAGCGATATCAGCGCCGGCATCCTAGCCCCGAGTGCAGCGCAAATCGCCAAGAAAAAACTGCAAGAAGAAATTTGCCAGTTGAAGTAAGGCGAAAACCGAGTGAGCAAATAGAGGACCAAAAACTAGAAGATTACCACCATGCAATAGAAGGATGACATTCATATTCAATTTTTGGAACAGACGAGAAGCAGTCTCGTCGGTCTCTGTGCTGCCCCATGTTCATTATTGGACACTTCTGCTCAGTATTACCATGATCCGCTTTTGCAAGCGTCTCATCGTTTCCGGTGCGGTGTGGGCAAATGAGAGCAAGATCGGCATGCGGAAGTTTTGTTTATACGGATGCAATTCTCTTTGTCCTCATGCAGTTTTTATGTACACACAGGTACTTCTATCGGCATGGCTTTTTTTTGGAGGGATTCTTAAGTGCTATCCTTTGTTGCGGTGGCTCCATATCTATTGATGGGAACTACAGCTGCGTAGCATGTCACAAAACTAGCAAGTACTTAATTAATACTACAGTGACAAGATGAAGGCCCATGCAAACCGTGGGAGGTCATGAGGTCCTCGTGGACGACGTCTCGAGTGCCGTTTTCCCTGTTATCACAGGAAAAAACTGCTTCACTGTGATGATCTTGCAAGATCTGCGTCACAAGTTTGTTACACATGAGCCAGAAAATTTACCATGCGCGCTTCCAAAGGGAAAACACCGTTAAAAAGTCAAGGACAAGGTCTTGCAGGTGTGGCAAGACAAATTAGTTCTGTGCTTCATTCTATGCACCACAAGTCCACAGTGAAACAGTTTTTTTTTGCGATACCTGTTCTGCTTTCTCTACTACGTCGTGGCGGGGTCGACGCACTTACTTTTCTGATCCCGGTTTACGCACCTGGCTGCTGCGCTGATCCCCGTTAGCGCGACGGAGTCACGTTCCCGCCTCCTGTCGTGTTGTATCCTAAGAGAAGATGAATTTCATTCATCGTCGTCGTATTTAGTAAATAAGACGACAATCATGAAGGTGTTCTACCTCTTGGGAGTTGCGTTGGCACCGCTGAGGGCAACTGTCCCCCCCCACCCCAGACGGGGACTTCGGGGCTCGAGATCGAGGAAAAGCCTACTTTAACTGCGAACACTGTCGTTTCTGGGGCGCAAGATGCTCCTGCTGATTCATCACCTTTGCGCGCGGCGGACGCCGCAACGCCGAGCGCGGCAGCCGTGGCGTCTTCTTCAGGCACGGCGTCTTCAGTCTTCTTCTCGTGTTTCAATTGAGACACGGCATGTTCGTGACAGGACGAAGAACCCGAGAGATTTACAGATCGAAAAAATGTTCTCTAGATCTTTTGTTTTTCGAAGAAGATGAAGATTAAGGTGTAGTTTTTTTTCCTTTTGAGAAGTTCCATCTGCTTTCACTAGTCCGCCTCGAGAAAAGCCCAGTTGTTGCTAGAATCTTGACAGACCGCGTCGCACTCCTCGAGATCCGAGTTGCTCGAATTTTGACAGCCCCCCGTGCAAACCTTGGGAGGTCATGAGGTCCTTCTCGTGGACGACGTCTGGAGCAGTGCCGTTTTCCCTGTTCTGCTTTCTCTATTACGTCGTTGCGGGGTCGACGCACTTACTTCTCACAAAGGCGACGGAAAACAAGAATGCGAGCGTATGGACGTGCCAGGATCGAAATCGTCAAAGTTGAAATAGTTTGCCATGCATAAAACCGACACCAGTGGGAAGCCCACTTTTCAAGCGGCGCATGACAAATTTGCCGACCACCGGAATCCAATTTGTCATGCTGTTTGGGCACAGAAGACTGTTTTTGTCGTGCTAGTTTAGTAGCTCTATTTCAAACCCTAAACAGGCTTGCAATCGGCCTCACTTGCCATCCCGGCAAGACAGGCACTTCATGCCTTGCATTTTATGCATGACAAAGCATTTCAACTTTGTCGATTTCAAACCTGACGCTTCCATAGAGCGGGCGGCTGGAGTACGATACCACTGTGGTCTATCCCACGAAAAAACTGTTTCACTGTGACGATTTTGCAAGATCTGCATCACAAGTTTGTTACACATGACAAAGAAAACTTGGCATGCGTGCTTCCTAAGGGAAAACACAGCTAAAAATCCAATGTCTTGCATGTGTAGCAAGACAAACACACTTGCGTTCCGTTCTATGCATCACAAGTTCACAGTGAAACAGTTTTTTCTTGCGATATGGTCGTCTCGCTGGTGGAGGTTTTCAAAGCCATTTTTGCGATTAATATGGTTCTGCTGTTATCCTGAGTAAAAACGTACCCACACCAGAGTCAGGATGGGGATTTTGCAACACAAACCTAGGAGCTTTGTGAGTCACGCATGACAAGTTGCACTATGCAGTGTAGTGCAGGTTAGCAAGTGCAGCCGCATCACAGATTCATCTGCTCATCCTGTTCACAGCATCACAAATTCCAAAACACGACTGGAAATGGCTCTCATGGGGATGCGCGTCGCAAGTCTTCCTGTCTTTGCAAATCTGCATTACAACTCTGGTGTGGGTACGTTTTTACTCAGGATTGCTGTTCGGTAAAAAAAACAACGGAACGACAAAGTCCGAGATAGCGGAGCTGTGCAAGCTTGGAGAGCCTCGGTATGCCCTCCCCGGGCTCTTTTACGCGGTGCAAAACAACTGCATCATCCTTGCGGTGCCGCTCCTACACCCCCACGTATTCGGGCTTTTCAACAATTTGAAGATCGTGTCCGCCGCTGTGTTTTCGTCCCTCTTTTTGCGGAAGCGCTTTCGGGTACGGGAAAAAGTCGGCCTCCTGCTGCTCATCCTTAGCTTATCAAATGTAAAAATGTCTGGGTCTGGAAAAGTGGAGCTTGTAATGCGTGTCATGCATTCCTGGAAAATCTGTGTCCCATGAGCAGCAAAAGACAGGCTTTCTTTCTTGTCATGCAAAAACGCATTTTGTAATGCGTGCTAGGCATCAGCAGGCCTCTCAAAAACTTGTCATGCTTGGCTGCCATTGGAGGCGTTTCAATCATGCGAAATTCAGCACCACAAGTTTCCAGACCCAGACATTTTTACATTTGATATAGCTGCGTCGTCAGCAAGTGGGAGATGGCCACTTCGGCCGTGCGTCAATTGATGATCCGGCCGAACAATGCTGCTCCGGACGAGCGGCGGCAATCGGCAACAATGAAGAACGCTAAAGGAGAAGCTGAAGACCAGCGGTTTCTCCTAGGTCTGTCCCTGACGCTGTTTGCAACCAGTGTTTCCGGTCTCGCGGGGGTCATCAACGAACACGTGCTGATATCCAGTGCAAAAGTACCGTGCAGCTCGAATGAATTGCAAATCTAAATCTTTGTGCATTGCAAATCCAGTTGTGCATTGCAAATCCAAATCTTTTTCTCATACGTAAGTCGAAGTCCGTGTCCAGACTACAAATTTTCATTGCGCAAATTTGCGATAAGCTTTCTGCTAATACGATACTTTTGCACAGGATAGCTGAAGGTAGGGGGCAAAGTGGGTCATAGTTTCTGGATAAAAAACTACTACACCTACCAGTATGGGATTCTCTTCAATCTGTGTGGCAACGCCGTCAGTTATCTTTTGCAGAATTACCATCCCGGAATGACGAGTGGTGTGTTAAATACGTCAAATGCTAGTTCTTTTTCTAATACCACAAAAAATTCTTCTGATCTTTTTCTCAAGAAAACTAGCCCTTCTCTACTTCTCACGGGCTTCACCCCCCTGGTTTGGGCCCTGGTTTTTGTGTGGGTTCTCCTCGGCGTATCCGTGTCGTTGGTCTTCAAGTATCTGGACAACACGGCAAAATCCTTCGGAAATCCGCTGATAGTGTTTGTCACCTCGATTTTTTCGCATTTTCTCTTCGCGGACACAAACTTAGATGTGTACTTTTTCCAAGCTCTGGCATTGTATTTTTGCTCCGTCGCGGTGTATTCAGGAACTACTGCACCGTTCTTTCAGGTCACAGGTCTTGCTCCTCCTGGAGGTAGTTTTAGTTCTTCTAGTTCTGTTGCTACATCATCAACAAGGAACTTTATTTCGCTCGTGACAGAAAGTAGAACAGATACAGATGCAGATACCAGTACCATAAGGGAGAAAAAAAATGCCTGAAGTGAACCAGCAAAAAGCATCAGCGTGACCGCTCGATGCGAAAGAAGTTTCCTATCGCAGTGCGTTAAGGACGCTAAAACGGAAACGCATTGTTTGGGCTTTGGCCCCGTGTTCTCCTCGTCTAGAGGGCTTTATGCTGCTTTGCTATTTGTTTTTGTACTTGGGATATTTCAAAACGAGAGTTCCAGAGCAAAAATAGCACCAACAAGACAGAGGGGGCCTGAGAGCAGCTGCCGGTTGAAGAGGTCAGTGCAGATCTTCATTGAGAAGATAGCGGAGGGAGATATCCACTGAGAAGATGCCTGATGAAGCATACCGCCGGAAACACGGAGGCACTTCCGCGCTTTTTTGATAAAAACAAGCGAGCTTCTTGCTTGACGGCGCTTTTCGCTCCGGAGTCTGCACAAAGACTTTGCACCTGTAGCAGAAAGCTGTTACTTCGTTCTCATCCTCGTCAAACATTGTCTCCTTGCCTTTCGGGGGTCATTTTTGAAGCAAAAACGAAAACGAGCATACCGTCGGAAACACGGAATCACTTTTGCAATTTTTCAATAAAAATAGGCGAACTTGTTTTCCGGCGCTTTCCGATGTGGGGTCTAGGCAAAGACTTTGCGAAACAGCATCTG